AAAAAAAAAAAAATATATATATATATATATATATATATATATATAAATAATAAAATGAAAAGAAGTAGAACGTATCAAGGTTAACACAGCTAGCTTGGAGTTTAGAAGTATTCTGGGTCAAATCTACAAAGGTTCAATGTTCCACTAGAGACTAGACTAAAACATTGAGGACCTTGCATCCATCCTTCTGACATTCTACAATTGATGGAAGTATTCATCCACCATCTTGAGTTGGTTTCTGTGTTAATTTCAAACCATACACTGATGCAAAGCTGAAAAACTTAAAAAGTGCACCTTTATCCAGTGTGAGCGTAAAGGTGGAATAGTGGTTGATGGGAGATACATCAGACCTGATTTGCTAAACAGCAACCAGAGGATTTTCAGTTAAATGCCCCAGGGAGAGAGGTTAAAGTTTGCAATATGCATAGCTGATGCTCTGCAAAACCTGGTATGGGTCCCTGGGGCGGAGTATTTGGAGAGCAGGGTGGGCCAATGCTCCAACAGCACTAGTTGCTGTGTAACAGACCACAGCTTGGATCTGATTTTAAGAGTTAACTAATTGGCACTCACCTGTAGCTACTCAATTAGTAGACAGGCCTTTAAAAGAAGAGAGCAGCCTGCTGCAGAGTGAGGGAGAAAAAGACAGCTAGGAGATATTGTGTTTATTGCAAAGACATTTCTTTTGTTTGGAAAATTGGTAAGTGGGAAAGCCACCCAATTGCAGATAGCAATTACTGTCTAGTAAGAGCTCAAGTAAGAGCAAGGGATTTTGTTTGTTTTTGTTATTATTTAAAGTACCTGCTTTCTTACTGAATAAAAAGGAAAACTGAGCTGAAGGTGTCCTGGACTTTGTATACCCTAGAAGGCTGTGGTTACTGCAAGATCGGTGACAATCCTACCTGTAAAAGAGGTGGTTTGTTACACCAGGTTATTCATAAGTAGGTTTTTCCACACACCATTGTTTTAAAGAATGATTGAGTATCCGACCTCTCATGGTAAATAGGTTTCCTTTACCAAGAACTGCCATTCATTGTATATTTTTTCATGCGTAAATATCCCAGAGGATTAGATATTTCTGAGATGCTTTAACCACCATTTCTGGCACCGGCAATCATACTATGGTTAGTTCACAGATTTTTCCAATTCTAATCTTTGGATGAACAACTACTATACCTTTTAACCACATCTGCATGGATTTTGCTTTTTTTTTTTTTTCCTTCTATTTACGAGTGTACATCACTCTGTGTTCTCTTAAATACAACACTTAATACTCATTCAGATTAATAATGTTAGCGACTATTTTCTGCTATGCTTTTTTTAAATAGGTTAATTAGCTATTATGGGCTTAGAAGAAGATGACAGATAAAATGCCACTTGATTTAAAATTGCTAAGTGTTCTACGAAGCATATATATTTAGTGAATTAATAGGATATTTTCAATTGATTAAATATGTGACAGGATAAACTGTTTTATGCACAGATTGTTGTTCAGGGATATCTAAAAGATCGAACTACTGTATGTTTACACAATGACGAATTTTCATTTATTTATTCATCCTTTTCAGATATATTGGGTGGGGGTTAAAAAAATAATGGTATCCCTAATCTTGCAATTTTGTCAGATAAAATAAATATTTTTTGTCATATAGAGCAGCTGTGACAAAATTAGATAAAATGGTCAAAAACCTTGTTTACAAGCATTTCTCAAAAACCTTTTGGCATTTCTGGGAAAACGAAGTTCTGGAAATGTCAGAATGTAAAACTAACGTTTGCATTTGGACATAATGTCCACATTAAGGAAATGAAGCTACAATAAGAACTATCTGTTATGTGTGCTGCAAGTTGTGGACTGCTATTGTACAGTCTTTGTAGTGCGTTTATTGTGTTTTCGGCCCTTCCTACTAACTCCACCACTCTGAATTACTTTACGTTGTTGTAAAATGTCAGAGGAAGGAAAACCTACCATTTGCAGTCTCTCTGCAAAAATGCAGAGAGACAGAATTGAGCTGTGGTATAGAAACATTTATGCCGGGTGAAAACCTTGCAGCTTTTTGTAAAGTTATCACACTGGTTATCGTTCCTGGGTTCTAAACAGTTAGATCAAATGCTACCTTAACTAAAGAAAACAGACCCCTTTATAGATTGCAAAAAGAAAGTTTCAGCTTTTGTTTTATTACCAGACTCAGTCTACTGAACAGAGATTGAAGAAGGAATTGCACTAGTAAAAGATTGTCTGTATTATGGTTAAACTTATACAGAGTTAGAATTAGTTTTAAGAAGGGAGAGCTTACAAGCATTACCTTCAATGAAATACCATGGATAAGTTATCATGAAGGATTGATGTTCCATTATCCCATGGAACACTATGTCGAAGTGTCTGTATCTTTAAAAAAGATGGCATTTGAAAACATACAACATAGTCTGTTAAGCAAAGGTAGAATATTAAAGGACCACTATAGTGCCAGGAAAACATACTCGTTTTCCTGGCACTATAGTGTCCTGAGGGTGCCCCCACCCTCAGGGTCCCCCTCCCGCTGGGCTGGATGGAGAGGAAGGGGTTAAACTTACCTCTTTTTCCAGCGCCGGGCGGGGAGTTCTCCTCCTCCCTCTTCTCCTCCTCCCTCTTCTCCTCCTCTTTGGCTGAATGTGCATGCGCAGCAGGAGCTGCTCGCGCATTTCAGACAGTCTCATAGGAAAGCATTCTCAATGCTTTCCTATGGACGCTGGCATCTTCTCACTGTGATTTTCACAGTGAGAAGCACGCAAGCGCCTCTAGCGGCTGTCAAGAGACAGCCACTAGAGGCTGGATTAACCCTAACATAAACATAGCAGTTTCTCTGAAACTGCTATTTTTATTTTTAAAAAAAGGGTTAACCCTAGCTGGACCTGGCACCCAGACCACTTCATTAAGCTGAAGTGGTCTGGGTGCCTATAGTGGTCCTTTAAACTATAACGTGCAATGGGAAAAATTGCAAGGTAGTAAAAATTTCACAGATCGTGTGTCAATACTTGTTGGGCATGCACTTTGCATAAACCTTCTTTTAAAGGTAAATCAGCTTTATTCATGGCCGAAACTGTAAACACGAATAGCCACTACGGTGAGAAAGAGCCGAGTTCAGATAAAATTAACTTTTGTCTGCAATCGAGCAGAAAACTGAATAGACGTTCTTTACGTTTCATGGGCTGACAAAATGATAAATGTACTGGGAAGATTGCAGCTTGCAATTTTGGCTGCAATAGAATCATAGAGCTGCTAATAATTGTTTAAATACTGCAAAATCACAGCTCAGCAACACAGCCCGGATTGCAAAGACATGTCTGGATCTCTGTTAATAGGGTCTGCTAATAGGTCACACTTCGTAGATATTGTACATCTAGTTTGATTTCTGTGGGTTTTCAAAGTTCCGTAAATTAAAGATCTGAACATTTTAGGTAAATGAAAGGCTGTAAGAGGTCAATAAAACATTGGGGGACTATCTCTCATTGTTAGAGTCAGGTATTGCTTATAATCTGCTTTATGATGATTGTTGTTTTTTAGTATTTGTATACTTTAGAGAAATAAAGTATTTTTGTTTGCATTATTGTGTAGCTCTGCTCCTAGCACTCTCAGCCAGCCATCACCATCCAGGTTGGATATAACGGCTCTTGTTGCTCTAAGTTTATATTTAGTTTCATAACTTGGCTGGAGAAGGGGCAGGCGGGCAGAGCACCAGTTTTGTCTTCAAAATGTGGGACTACAAAATGTGGCATAGCATCCGTAAATTCATAGCACCATAACCACCGCACTGCAATCTAGTGGCTAAGGTGCTTAGAATGCTGCTTTAATTAACTCCAAGAAGATCAAAACTAGCATCCTTTTTAATAGCAACATATCATTTATGAATGAGCTGTTATCAATTTAGGATTATGTAGTTTGCAAACCCCACTTGTGTAGTATTTATTATCCACCATTGATGCATGAAGTGTTGAGGGGGCAAATAGCTAGGGCAAACCATAGAAGACAGGTATTGAGAAAGCAAAACAGATGCAGCTCAATTTATTTGAAAAATACATATTTAAGAGGAAAATTTAACCTAAACACCAGATTTTGTCCAGATACACATAATCTACTGACAGTGACCACATTCCGACCAAGATGGTAATTCTCATATTTACTGAAACCAAATACAGTGGGAATTCGGTTGGCCCGAGCAGATCTGCAGCAATCGTTTGGATGCCTTCGATGTCCAGATATCCCAACTGAACAGAAGACAAAGTACCGTATAGAATTTGGAAGATTCACAAAGCACCGATATAAATATATAATACAATTCATAACCACATGTATCTATCAGGATACATATTCACAGAATATTGTTCACTTGCTTTCATGCAAGCGAACAATAATTTTAAAGGAACACTACTATATACAAAACCGTACTCCTGACGATAAAGTGTCCCTCTGCCTCCGTGGCCCGCCATCCGGTGATTAAAGGTATAAAAGCCCTTTTTTTTCCCACTTAGCTCTCACCTGCGTCAATCTCCTCCTCCAGCAATGACTGGATCAATGCTTTCTTATGGAGATCTTAAAGATGTTGGAATTCCTCATGCAAAGCGTGAGAACGACTAGTGTTTTTATGGAGTTAAATTTTGTGTAAATGCAGGAAGAACCACTTGTGGCTGTCAGTATAACAGTCACTAGAGTTTACCTTAACCCTGCAATAGAAACTTTTCTCTGAATCTGTAATGTTTTAGACTGCCGGGTTAAGGAGACAGGGACCTCTTCAGGGACAACACCAGACCACTTCAATTATATAAAGTTATCTGGTGGCCTACAGTGTCCCTTTAAGTAGTATTTGTCCACAGACAGAGCTAAAAAAATAACTCTTGGGGGAGTGAGGGATAATTATGATGTGGCGCTGACCAGCACATGCTAGCCGGGTTTCACATATATACATTCTATATTAAACTGATCATTACTGTATGGGAGGTTTTTTAAACCAGGTGGGGGCATATCCACTTGAGGGGTTACTCCAGCCACCATGACCACTTCTGCTTTTAGAAGTGGTCATGGTGGTAGGAGTGTATATATACATTCTACGTATATATTCTAATTGAGATGTTGCACATACAGAGTACAAGTTTCACTGACTTGGGCATTCAGGCATTCTGTTCCAGGCTGCCTAATGTCAATTCTGTGCAAAAATTGCATCTGTCACTAGCGCACTGGAAACAGATATAATGAGCTTACGTGAAGCGTTGCTTGTTGCTTGACCTTCCCTCCTCAGTGCACTGCCTCCCTGCCTGCCTGCATTGAAAGTGATGTAATTTCTATTTTTTTTAAATCACCTCCCTACCCTGTCACTTCCCTACCTGACTCAGAGTGTACACATGTGCTCTGATCCCTTGGAATGGCCTAATCAAATGCTTTTTTTATGAAGGATTTGATTGGACCATGAGCATAGTCATCAAAGTGAAATTTTGTGTGGCACTGAATTCCAGGTAAGTTTATACTTAAGAGAGGGGGATTGGTTATTAATGCCCAGTAGGGCACTGTAAACTTAAAAATATATATATTTTCTACAAAGCGTCAGAGTAACCCTTTAGTGTTTAACAACCAGACAGCCTTTGCTGCCCAGCCATTAGAAGCCCTGCCTATAAAATAACTAGGTCACAATAGGTCCTCCCCTTTAATATTACAATTAGGGTACCCACACGCTGACCACGTGGGAGCAGGGGCGGACATTAGGAGGAACCTCTATTTTTAAATGAAATAGCCCCCACCTGCTGGCCATGGATGCAGGGCAGGAGGTACTCCCCCTCCCTCATTATTACTGGCTGCTTAGTCGCTAGTATTACACATTTAGCAGATATGTAGCAGGTGGGGCACATAGAGATTTCAAACCGCCCTTACAGTAATATGGGGGTCTTATTGACACAAATAGGGTTTACTTATTTATTTGTATTATTTTTATGTCATTATTGTGTTGTGCTGCTATTATGCATATTATGGATTCTATTTTTAAAAATGCAGGCCCAAATCCATCGTGATGCCGATAGCGATGACCCCAATCCAAATCGCCCCTCTGAAACGAATATTCCCCTTCCGCATCACCACCACCTCCCTCACATACTTGGGTGTCCAATTAACTACGAATCTGGGAGCCTTTTACGACGTCAACTACACGCCCTTACTAAAGACGGCGCATCAAGATCTGCGAAGATGGGACAAGCTGGGCATATCTTGGCTGGGCAGAGTGGCCACAATTAAAATGACTCTCCTACCGAGGTTTCTCTACCTCTTTCAAACTTTACCAATCCCACTACAGCGACAGGACTTCAAGCGGTTACAGACGGCCATTGATAGATTCATCTGGAGGTCCCGGAGACCCAGAATTCGCAGATCCACGATGTATGTCCCCAGGCTCACGGGAGGACTGGGGCTCCCTAACCTGATGCAATATTACCTCGCAGCACAACTAGCCCACATCCAGCAATCGCACCTGCCACCAGGAACCAAACGATGGGTGGACCTGGAACATGACGTCATGGGCTGGGACCTCCCGTCGTCCTATATGTGGGTACCATTGAAATACAGACCCCTTCCACCGCCTACCTCTCCAGCAATCACGCACGCTTTGGCCCTTTGGGATAAACATTACGCTAGGTACGACCTTTCTTCCTTCCTCTCACCGGTGACACCGATCTATCGGAATAAATTGTTTCCACCGGGTATGGTAGCTAAACACTTCGCTGCATTTGACCAGAGAGACATCTCTAGATTCTTACACCTTTACCGACAGGGGGACATAGTAAAATTCTCCGAAATACCGGATGCAGACGCTCTAACCACGGGTGATTTCTTCCGCTATATCCAACTGCGAGACTTCGCACAACAGCCAATGATCAAGCAGGCGGGGGTCTCTCCACCAACAATGTTCGAAAAAGCAGTGCTTTGATGCACCGCTCCGCCGCGGCCAGATCTCAGATATATACACAACGCTTACCACGCACGCTTCCCAAGTGAACCTTACTTATATCACAGCGTGGGAGAGAGACATTGGCCCCCCAGAGGACACGGCCGACTGGTCCAAGATTTGGGACGCCACAAACTCCCTTACGACATGCGTAACGCACAAGGAGCAAGCCTATAAGACGCTATTTCGTTGGTACTTGACACCGCACAGGCTGCACCAAATGGGAAGGAAGCCCTCGGATGAGTGCTGGAAGCTATGCGGAGGTCGGGGCACCTACCTTCAGTGCTGGTGGACGTGTCCCAAAATTAAGCAGATCTGGACTGAGGTGCAGAGCTTGATCGAACGGGTGGTGGGTCAACCCATTACAGCACAGCCTTGGACCATGCTACTCAATAAACCCCTGGACTCACTTACGAAACAAGAGAATAAACTGGTGGCACGCATAACCCTAGCAGCACGTAGAGCAATTGCGGAACTTTGGGCAGACCCACGTACCCCCGGGATTGAGACCATCATCCGCAAAATAAAAGAAACACGAGACTTAGACGAACTAACTGCGCAGATGCACGATTCGTACACGGCATTTCACAGGACATGGAATTTGTGGGACACCAGCTATCAGAGGTTGGCTGCGACGGCCCCGTAGGGACAACCACGGACCTGACGGGGCTCACGGGGCTATAATCCGGAACGGTGCTTCCTGCCCTGGCCTGTGGAGAGAGGAGGATCCTGACCCCCAGGAGACTACCCAAACATGGTCTAGAAAGAGACACGATTTAGGGCGCTACCTGCCGGTGAACCCCGGGTGGGGGTTGAGCCAATCCCACCCTACACTATTCAGTCCCCCAGAGATTGCATCCCATGACCCTCACACAGGCCCCAGTGTCCCTCTCAGCGACATGATCACTCTACCTTGGACCCCCCCTTCACCTACAAGTGCCGGGGACTCGGCCGGGGCGGAAGCGCGGACAAGGGGCGGGATACCTGACCACACTAAGATTTACACTACCCTCCAGCCCAGATGTTCCCTCTCCCTTCCCCCTCCTCACTCAAACCCTCCCCCTCTACTCTGGCATGTGTAGATCCCGTCATACGAACTATAGGTCACTAGCACACTGAGCAACAGACGCACACCCTCCTTGACAAAAGAGCATCACCGCCTCGGGGAACTCCCGCCTGCCCCCCTCATCAGGGGATAAAGCGGTAGAGACCTCCTTGACCACATGCCAAACAAACCCAAGTAGATCCGCCCAACAGAGAGCCTACACGCAATGGGAACCCCAGTACGGGACCAGAATTTTAGGATGGGCCCAGCCCGTCTGACGTAGACCTTAGGCCCGGCCTTACCAATACCAACCACGAGCGCATCCCGAATCACTGACTACCACAGACAGCCTTCAGGGCGGGACCCCCCCGAAGCGGACTTCAGCCACAACAGGGTTGCCCCAAGACTGGGGGTATATAGACAAAATAGACCATGTGATTGACTAAATGCAACGGGAATATCGCGACATGCTAACCCCCTACCCCATCCCTTTTTTCTCTTCTGTACCCTTCACCCGAACAGTTTTTATTTGAAAATGAAATAAATAAAGAATAAAAAAAAAATAAAAAAATGCAGGCCCAGATTTTAAGCATTTCAGCCGCCCAACAGTGTTCGGTCAGGCTGAAATTCAGACCAAATTCAGGTCAGTTCGGGGCCTGAATTGTAAAATCCGGATATAATTGAATATCTTGAACAATGTGCGAATTTTGCAGTCCAAATGGTCTTGTATGCTGCTGGATGGTTGAGCCCCATTCAGAGCCATTTAGTGAATAACCCAACTAGTATAATGAACAGACAGTCAGTATCTGAGCAGAGCGTGTTTACATAATGAATAATGGGCCTAAGTCTGCATTGAGACCCATTTACATGAGGCTGAAATAACACATATAGTCATTAATCAATCGGGCAGGAAGGTAAGGAAAAATATGGGATGTATACGGCTTGTTATTAGCAATAAAACCAATCTGAAGAAGTGGTAAATGTGCGTCGTTCTGAGTCTTATAGCATAACAATAAAAAAAAGCTAGCTCTAATGCTGAAATACTTAGTTATAAAGCCAAGATCTCCGGGTTCTGAGGTGGATAGTTCCGAGGCATATCGTAAAGAGACTAAAGTCTCTTATGGCACATATAAATGTACAATGAGAGATTGCCCAGTAAAAGACAGCTAACATCTCCGAAAACTCTGACAGGAGAGCATGGCTACTTAATCCAGATATCTTGAAATTTAAGAAAATATATTCAGATCAAATAAGAAACAAGGAAAGCCACTTTAGACATAAATCCCGATGCCTTATGTGATTGCAGTTGGAAATACCCCATATTTTTTGAGCATGCGTTAGTATTCTTTAATCTAAACCTGTATTACAATGTGTGCTCTTCACGTGCCTTGTCTATCCAAAACCATATCACAGACCCACATGAGGTTATTCGTTGTAAAAATGCATTTTTCTCCTTATGTCTTTATATTGATAATAGTAATGTTGCGTACATCTCAGAACTTTGTAGTTTGTGTTTAAAGTTTTATATTACCTATATCAGTAGAATCCAAACACTGATTTAATGTATTTTAGTAACTCGAGTATAGGCAAAACCTGGCAGATAGAGTATCCACTTTACCCATTTTAAGTAGAAAGGCTCATAAGCTTGCATGAGGCGTCTAAAGACTTAAAGAGTCTAAGATGCTGTGGCTGCTACAATTCTATGAAGTATCTAACGAAATATGAGAAAGATTTCTCCAGATTTCGAACAATAAACCATTAGTATGGCCTTTGTCTCATTGTCCTCCACATACCTCAGAGCTGAGGACTGTCTTCAGGCTGATGCCCAAACAAAACAAAATCGTCAATGGATTTGTGTTCTTGATATGTTTTTCATGACATTTCTAAAATTATCTGTACATCAAAGACACTATATTTAACAATACACTGCCAACAATATTAGGTCTCAAACATTAGTTCTAGGACGTTTGTATGCCACTGTCATCAGCAACAGTGAGCCAGCTTCCACCAGCTTCACAATAAGGATGCACGGGTCGATGGGTCTGTCATCTGTAGTGCTTTGCAAACATGT